TTTTTTTTTTTTTTTTTTTTTTTTTTTTTTTTTTTTTTTTTTTGCTATGTTACCCAAGGCTGGACTCCAACTCTGGGCTCAAGTAATAGTCCTTCCTCCACCTCCTAAGCAGCTGAGGTACAGGTACCTGCTCAGTTCATCTGGAGTTTTATAAATTTGCCCCAGCAGAGTAAAGGCACTACACATAGCGCCTGGGAAACATTAAAGTGGGAGACAAGGCCCTTGAACAAGAAGAGGTGAGAAGTTTTCGGCAACAAGTTCATGTTCCTGATAAGTTTCTTCTGTCTACATCTCACGTTCTCACCATGCATGAAAGTGAATGACTACTTCGTTTTTGTTGAAATGAAAGAATTTGAGGACAACTCATAAAGATTTGTGAAATCTTTGGGAAGCTTGACTCAGAGTCAGATGAGGATAGTTATCACCTGATTGCCAGAAGTGCCCCTAAAATCTGCCCTCAGTCCTGCCACCATGTGCTCTGTTGCCATCACATCAGTCCAAACATTGATAGTACGGGCTGTCCACTGTCTTAGCTTTAACTCTTAAAGTTGTCATGGTGATTTTATTAAGATAATGGGCTTGACTATAATTCATGTGCTTCAGTCATATTAATCAATCTTTGCTTTTCTTCCAGAGAGTGCCTGTCAAGATGCTTGAGGAGTAAATTTTAAATTACAATGGATCTGCTCATCTTGCTAAAAGGCAGATATGTTCAATCTGGCTGTTCTAAGCTTACAGATATTCTGACACTGATACTTATTTCCTCGTCCTAAAAACCAGCAGGTACATACACATTACTTCTCAAAGCATCCCCAAAATTCATAGCTCAAGAATCACCTATATGTCCATGAACAGATGAATGGGTGAAGAAAAGGTAGTATTTACACATAATGATGTTCATTCTACTACAAAGAAGGATAACTGAGTGATTTGTAGGAAAATGGATGTATCTTGAGCCATAATGTTAAGTGAAATAAATCAGAAAGATAAACTTAAGTATTGCATTTTTGTTCTTATGTAAGCAACCCAAAATATAAATGAATTAAAGAGCAAAATATAATACAGTAGGAAATGGGGAAATAGATCTTTTTTGCAAAAGGGAAGGGGACCAAGCGATGGAAGGAAGGATTGTGGAAGGAAGGGGATGGGATGAGAAAAAGAACTGAGATGTGTTATGTACGCACACTAACACAGTCATCATACACCGCAAACATCTACTTACAAATGAAGATAAGTGGGTATTTTTTTAAGAATTGATTTAGTCTTAATTTTAGGCACCTATTAAGTGCATACAGTTGGATACCGTCAACGGCAGGAAACAGAACATCAAACCCAGTATCGCATAACACAAGACAAATGATTCCATCGTATTTAAAAAGCACATTTTCCTTAGCCACTCTGAAATCCTTGGACGGAGTGGAAGTACACTTTCAGAGATTGGTTGGATCAGCGGTCCCCTGATTTCAGCAACATCATCAACATTCTCAGCATATGTCGTGTGAAAATCCTCAGCACCTTTGCTTGCCCATGACTAGCTCCCCACAGTGCTTTTGAGGGCCTGCACCATTCCAGCAATAGAAATGGAAGAACTTTTTCATGTACCCTTTTGAGACTAGAAACTTGTCAAAATTTCTTGGCAGACACACCTCTCATCTCCTTGGTCAGAACTGGGCCACTGGAATAACCGTTATCCAATTGGTTACTAGAGAAATGGAGCTACAATCCCTCAGTAACCTTGGAGATGGGTTCCAGAACCTTCCTCAGCTACCAAAATCCGTGGATGCTCAAGTCCTTTATGTTAAGTGGTGACATATATACATCTTCCAGTCTAGTTTAAATCATCTCTAGATGCCTAATAATACCTAGTGCAATGTAAGTTGTGTTTAAATAGCTGCTAGACTGCCCTGTTTGGGGAATAATGAGAAGGGGAAAAGTCTCCTTATTTGGTTCCAATACAATATTCTTTTAAACATTTTCAATCTGTGGTTGGCTGAGTCTGTCTGTGTGAAATCCATGAATGTAGCAGCCCACTGTGCTATAATTTAGGTTGATGATTAATTACTCACTGTTGGAGATTAAGCCATTTTCTCTGCACTCATGGCTATGTGGAGAAAACAGCTGCACTAGCAGATCTGGAGAAGGAAGGAAGAAGGGAAAACAGTGAGTAGTCAGCAGCATCCATTATACTATTTAAGAAAATGTACTGGGGTTTTTTAAAACTTTGGACCAAATAGATCATTTCTAGGGTTTGAAAACCCCAATCAAATGAAAAATTAAAAGAGAAAAGAACCTTCCTTGCTCTATGCCTCCAAATGTCTAGTTTTTCTTATAGTAATAACATTATTTAATCCTTAAAACCATTCCTAAAATTGTATTTCTGCTGATGACCATCACCATGTGCATCATCAGGTATTTCACTTATCTCTCGATTCATCAATTTAAGAGAATGTTTACTTCCTATTTTGACAAAAACTTTATCTCTCTTATATCAGGCTATGCCTTTTCTTGTCTCTCCTGCCAATGTGCCCCTTGCCTTTTAATTTTCTCTTACTTACTTTTTAAACTTTAAGTAAATATTCACCATTATTCACTTCTTCGTAGCAACTGTGGAACCATTCCTTGCCTTTTAAGTTGTCAAGGTTGATACTCCATTCTTCCCAAAGCCTCAACTGACTTCCATAGTGACCTATGGTTGGAACATAAAAGCAGAAAGTGAGTCGTGTTTTCTTTGTTATTCCTTTGTGAGTTCTGTTCACTATGAGACCAAGCAGGTGTATCATATTCTTCTTAAGGCCCTTACACTTCAGCTCTTCAATTTCTTCCTCTGGGGTTTATTTTACAGCATCATTTTGTCTTCTCTGGACTTCTGGTTAGATGTTTACCTCCAATTTCAGTCCTCTGTACCTCCCACCTTTTCCCTTACCTTTTCTCTCTATAGCTAGTAAGATTTCCTCAGGTTTATATTCCAAAACTTTGTTTTTTCAAATGTTTTTAATTTCAAAAACTAATTCTCACTTTTCTAACATGCTAATATTTCAAGCTTCATCTGCTATTATTTGTAAAGATAATGTTTTCTTAATTCTCTCTGAGGGCTCCAATTTACACTCTAATTTACATTAATTTATGTTACGGTAATTCTTCCTTTAGCTTTTCTTTGCCTTTATTTTTCTTTTTTTCTATATTGCTGAAATATTGGTTGTTGGTAATTGATCTGTGTAATAGGTAATAGAATTCATCATCAGGATTCACCTTAGTGTCAGTTGGAGGGGTCCAGGAGAACCTGACTACAAGAATGCAAAAGTCTTCATCAAGCAATAGCACGGTTAAGACTGGGGCTTCTGATTGTTGTGAGATTGCTTATTCAACTTTCGCAGACAAAAACCTCACCTCCCTTTTTTCAGTTTTTGGTTTTCACTGAGGCATAAATATTTAAATGCTTAATGTGGAAAGGGAAGCAGTAATGAGAAGCAATTATCTTATATTCAGATGTCCAAATACTTCATTTTACTTAAATCTGACATCTAATTCTTGCCCTGCCTTGTAGTTACACAGTGTCCTCCAGAAAAACCGTAGAGCAGTGAATCTCAGTTTCTCTGTATCAGAATCACCAGAGGGCTTATTAACACCCGCATTACTGGAGCTCACTTCCAGAGCTGGCCTCATCTTGCAGAGCTGGAGTAAGACCCAGGAGTCAGCCAGCACTTCTAGCAAGGGCTCAGCAGACAAGGGTGCTGCTCACCTGGGAACTTCACCTTGAGAACGTCTGCTCTACAGCATAACAAATTTCAGTTCATACCAAGAGACCCATAGGTTTTAGAGTCTGGTTTCCTCCGCTTGGTTTCATCAGTCACCTGTCCACTACTTTCTCTCCATCTTTCACAGAGTTGCTGAAATTCTCTTCTACAAATGGCTCAGTAATCAAATGCTATATTAGAGGTAGTATGTTAGCTTTCTTCTTTCTTGATTATTTTAATGCTCTACCATTACGTAATAACACAGAGAAAGAGAAAAATACAATCATTCGTGAGCAACTTGCTTTGCCATGTGAAAGCCATTGTCTGATATTTTAACGTATCAATCTGCCCCTAGTGAGAATGTGTCTTTCTTTCTTTTTTTTTTTCCTCATTGAGTTTATTGGTACATTTTAGGTATACAGTACAGTTACATTCATTATTGGGATCTTGTACCTTTACATGACAGGTCTTGGTTCTCATTTTTTCCCCTTGTCCCTGCCTTCCCTTCACCCCCTCCTCGCCTCCCCATTTACAAACACTTTATTTCCATTTTTTCATTTCTCATATAGATTTTTTCCCTTATTACCTTTCCCCTACCCTTCCCACTTTCTCTACACCTTTAGCCCTTTTCTTTCTATTTCACATTGTCCATTATCTCATTAGGAGTGTCTTTCTTTCAATCTTACTCTTATTTTGGTTTCATTGTTATCAGTACTACCTTACTCTGGAGTTAAATTTTGTTACAAATTTGAATGCATTTGTAAAACCTGCAGACATCTGACATTATAGGGAGATATTTGAAAAATACAAGATATTTTAAGTAACTCTAAAATGTAGTATAAATGGGCTAGCTGTTTACCAAGTTCGGTTTCTATCCTTTTATGCTACTCCAAAAGTCAGCATGTTACCATTTCCCCATGACGGGCTGTGAGAGAAACTCATGTATGGCATCCTTAGGATAATGTGGTTATGAATTAGATGGATGTTCTTTGCTCTATTTTCCCATCTGCCAGCTCAGTGCAGAGTGTCCTGAGGCCCTGGAGGAGAGAAGAGCTACAAGATGGAAGGAAATTGGGTCCTTGTATGGCCACAAGGAAAGCCGTAATGCAATCAGGAATAACTTCATTAGATTGCTGTGTCTAATCTGCTGTAATTTTAGCCTTTACATTCTAGCAAGCTACTTTCTCTTCTTAACAAATTAAGTGAAAAAGAACATTCCCCTTGAGCCTACAGACATGCTTGGAACAAATCAACTTTTCATGGGCTACAGTCTATATGGACTTCTATAGCTTTGTTAAAACTACAGATGCACATAGAATTTCCCCCACAGCAATGCTATAGGCAATTTTAGCTGACATTCTGCTGAAAATTTAGTCTTAAAAATGAAATAAATAGTCTTGTTTCACATTCCCTTTAGTGGCATTCAATTATAATGAGTTGAATGAGATAATAAACAGAAAAACTTTTCCATAAACAAAAATATGAACTGCTACATAATAATTAGCATTTCTTAGGAACAACAGATCTTAAATTAGCTTCCCAGGCTTAATTTATAAATTAGTGCTGTCGCACTGTAAGAAGCTGAAGCTTTGTATTACTCAACTTTTGAAACATTGTAAGTTTTTATTAAACATCATCAGAGCTTTTAACCTTTGGAAACACGGAGGTTCCAACTGCAGTATGTCATAAGTCATCAAATATGATGGAGGATTCCAAAGGCCAATTGAAGCAAATCAAGCAGATTTCCGTTTTGGTAATTGAAGCTCTGGCTTCATTCCACATGCCTACACTGGTCTGTCAAAAATGAGTCTACCATCCAACCCTACAAAGAACCAGAAATGAGAAAAATAATTTGAGAGCATTTCAGCTCTTCCGGAGGTATGACATTCAATAGGGCACTTGTGAAATATCAGGTTCCTACACTTCTCCTAATGAGCCCACATGAAATACGTATTGTATATCACATGCTAGGACGTGACCATGAGGAACAGAGAGGAAACTAATTGTATTTGCTGGCAGAAAATTTAATTCTCAGCCTGAGGTTTATAAGTTTTCTATCTCTTGTGCAACAAAGCCTAAAATATTCATGTCTTTCATCTGCACTAGAAAGATTTTCAGAGATCCTATAAAAGCTCCTCACTTCAGGCTAGGTCCCTTTGTGATTATTTTGGCGGGAGTGCATCTGGCATTTACTTTAGGGCTCAATACAAGGCAAGTGAATCTGGCAAACAAAGAAATACCATTAACAGAAACAGAGGAGAACAAAAGGTAATTTTATTTTTTAAAAATACTTCACAGATTTTATTAATATCTTCATGTAAAATATAATTAAAGGACCATGACAAACCACCATGCTGTAAAACTCAAGCAGAACTGGGTGAAAGTCCACTTCGTGACCTCATTAGCCTACTTCCTGTTGCTGGCATACTTCACCAAAGATTACAGATTAGTAACATCTGACCTTGCATATATCTGGGTGCATTAGTTGCCTCTGATTAAGCACACTAGAGTTTAAACAATACGAATAGCTGTGAAGATTAAGTGTTCACTGGAACCTTGGTTGGCTGGAGAACTGCCTGGGAGATTAATAAAGCACGCTTCTGGGTGTATCTGGGTGAGTCCCACACTCCTCCACCATGATGTCTCTGCCTCACAGATAGTGAGACCTTGGCTTGAAGCCTCTGAAATTGAGCATTTCTTCATGTATTTATTGGCCATATGAGCTTCTTTTCTAGGAAGGGTCTATTCGTTTCAGACACCTGTAATAACTCCTCTCTACACTCTGCTCATCAGTGAAATAGGACTGAATAGGTATAGTCCCTGACTTCAAAAACCTTGAACTAGGGCCAGGGATTTAGCTCAGTGGTTCTGGTGCCTGCCTTGCAAGCACAAGGACCTGAGTTCAATTCCCGGTACCAAAAAAAAAAAAAAAAAAAAAAAAAAAAAAAAACAAAAAAAAAAAAAAAAAAAAAAAAAAAAAAAAAAAAAAAAAAAAAAAACTTGAACTAAATGGACAAATTAGAAAGTGACAAGAGAATAATGAACAAGGGTAGGCAACAAATGAAACTGAAATTATACAACCAAGTCCTATGACAGTCTGGAGGAGGCAATGGTCACTTCGTTTTCAGTTTTCTCCTTTCCTGGAGAGATGATATCTCCTCTGCACTTTAATGACTGCGTGGATTTCAACAGACCATAGAAGCTTCAGGTACATTTCCAGGCAACAAAATATAACCATGGAAAAGCAAAAAAAAAGAAAAAAAGCACAAAGCGGTTTAAAAACTGTTGAGAGATCAATGTGAATGGAGTATGAGATGTACAAAGAGGAGGGAGGAGAGGAAGGATAGAACTTAGCATAGGGTGCTCCTCACAACAAGCTAACCTGGAAAGATCATGAGTTTGGAACACAAGCAGACTTGAGTATGATTTCTAGACTTGCAAAAAATCAGTTACATGACGTTGGGCAATTACTTCACACCTCAGAGCTCCTCCTTTATCATCATAAAATGGTGATAATAGGCCTAAATTGCTGATCTGTGAATTGCTGCCGACTGTGAAGGTAAAATAATGTACGTAATGTCCTGTACAGTGACGTTGGGCAGTGTCGTGCCTATTTTTTAAGACTTCTAGTAGGTATTCAAAGTAATTGACATGTGCTTTTCGAATAAAGTTGTGATCTGGCTTTCAATAGTAGTCAAGAGAAATGTCAGCAACCAACCAGTCAGGTTCTATGGCAATTTAAAAGGAAAGTGAAAAGGAAAAAGGAACTCTGTTTTGGTTTTTTAAAAAAAGTTTATTCTTCTCAAAGTGCCTCCTAGCTAACGTCTCATCTCTTCTCTCCTTTCTCAAGGAAATCCTAGTCCCACTTAACACCCAAGTTTTAAGAATAAGCACTATATGATGTGGGGGCTACAATCGTCCAGGAACACTTGAAAACTAGTACGAGTCATCATATTTTCTGTATTTAAATTTTTTGTTCAGTAAAATCAAATGGACTACTTTTCTATACCCTGCTGTCATGATTGTTATGAGAATTAAAATACAATAAAGTAGGTGGAAATGCCTTGAAATTTACACACGCAATAATGAAAACCCAACTTGTTCATTGCATCGTAGTCTACACTACTGGACGTTCTCAGGGAGAAAGAGAGCCGCCCACACACAGCTTCCAACAATCCATGTGAGCACACTGCTCCAAATCCTGTCCTACTTAAAACCCAAAGTATGCAATGTACCCTCTCTGTAAACTGTTTGGAGATTTACCTCTAGCTCCAGATTTTAGGACAGAGCTTGCTAGTTTATCTACTCACTGAGATCACAGAAAATTGAGTGGTACGATCAGCAGTACACAGCCTTTGGGACTGGACAAAAGTATGTGATTAATGATTTACCACAATGTACCTACTATGTGTCACTGGACAATTTAACTTCTCTAAAGGCTTCTGTGCAAAATGGGAAAATGTATTTTCCCCAGCTTTCAAATCTAGCACCAAATAAGCACTAAATGTTCCATTTATTTCCTCTTTCCTAATATATAAATTCATAACCCAACTCTATGATGCAACTTTGAGTACCATTATTAATATTAGTTTATGAGTCCTAAGCAGCTGCAAATTACGTTATTCATGACTATTTTGGGTGATGATGTAGGAGGAGAAAGACATAAGAAAAGAGAAAGTATAGAGGAAGAAGAGGGAAAGGAAGAAAGAAGAGAGAAAGAAAGAGAAGCAGAGAGGAATAAGAAGAAAGTTAAAAATAGATTCATTCATAGGAAAATGGATACATATTGAAGATACACTCCTAAGTGAAATAAATAAGGCACACATGTGTAAATACCGAATAGTTTCTCTGGTGTGAATAATCTGCAATAATACATAAGATCCTAATAAGATTACTGACATTTAGAAATGGGAAGAAAAGCAGCTAAAGGTGTAGGGAAGGTGGGATGGGTAGGGGAAGGGTAATAAGGGAAAAGAAAAAATGTGAGATAATGAAAAGATGGAAATAAAGTTTGTAGATGGGGAGGGGGGTGAAGGGAGGGCAGGGGTAAAGGGAAAAAATGAGAATCAGGACCTGTTATGTAAAGGTACAAGATCCCAACAATGAATGTAACTGTACTGCAACCCTAAAATGTACCAATAAACTCAATTAAAGCTGAAAAAAAAGAAGAAAGTAAATCACAAAGCATATTATTGGAGCAACTTGTTCAAAATCATAATCCTGTAAATTTTATGTGATTTAGTTGGGTGGGGGATTTAGCTCAGTGGCTGCACCGCCTGCCTTGCAAGCACAAGGACCCTAGTTCGATCCCCGGTACCAAAAAAGAATGAATTTTATGTGATTTCAGTTCTGTGAAGCTTCTTGATATCCAATCCAAAGTGTATTGTATATAAAACTCAGAAGCCACAGCTTTCGCTAATATTATTATATCACTGATTATCTCACTAACCCTGTCTCCTTTGGACAAAGTAAGTGCATCTAAAGTTTAAGTAGGTGGCTATGCTGAATTTTGCACTGAATTTAACAAGAGACTGAGTATAAATTTCATTAGAGCTCTGTGTACTTATGCCCTTTCTTCACTTTTTTACAACTAAGGTTAACTTTTTTCATGCACAATGAGGTAATGTCAGTAAAAAAACACTCCAACTTCCAGGTGAGTAAGGCAAAATATCTGGCTCATCCTCACAAAATGGCATCATTTTGGTGAATATAAAAAGTTTAAAGGTTTTGCATGATGCAGCATCATCTTGTATCTTTGCCAGTAGCACTAATTAGATTTTTCACCAACTAGGTTTTATCCAAATTTTACCTGATCATCATTATAAAGTGTCATTTTGTCACCTATTTTTATGCATATCAGATTAGTCTATAAAGGATTGCTATCAAATATTAGTCTATTATTCAGTCCGTATGATGAGTACCATTTTCAGCTCCAGGAAAAATACCACACATGTAACCAGTCTATGGGGAATTACTTCCCAGAATTAAAGAAGTCACAGGGTGCGTGCAAGCAAAGACCTTCTGACCCAGTATTTGACCAGTTTCACTCACTCAAATCTTAAGTTAGCAAGTAGAAATCCTTGACTTTCTTTTTAAAATGAAACTGAACCACCCATGGTGTGATCTGTTGGATAAACTGGGGGATTTATAGCTGGGGACCATGTAAGCAATTTTTAAACAATTTTGTGGCACCTGAGCTCCCCCCTCCAGGGTCCAGCTCCGAGATGTTGTTCTACCTTCAACAGGCTCCTCAGGCGCTACACAATCTTTCTCTAACTTCACTGCACTTCCCAAGGCCATAGTTATTGGATCTGAAACAAAACCATATCATTAACTGACTTGCTCTCTGATGATGTGTGTGCCTTTTATTTTTCTTTCTTGCCTTATTGCAAGTAGCTAAGACTTCAGCACAGTTTTCATTAATAGTGCCGAAAACTAGTGACAGATACCCTTGTTGTTCCAGATCTTGAGAGAAAACACTTGATCTTTCCCCACTGCATGTGATGTCCTATCCATCCTGGATATATTTATGGATTCCCCGCATCCGGAAGAGGATATTATTGTCTATCTATTTTGTAAGCATTTTATTGAAGAATGTGTGCTGAATTTAATGAGCTACTTTATCTGCATCCATGGACATAATGTGTTTCACTTTATTTTATTAATGTGGTGAAATATACTTACTGATGTTTGAAACTTACTGAGTCATGACGTGATATATTACTGTTTTCAATTTGCTACTATCTTATTTCTTTTGTTTTTTTGCCTCCATTCGTGTGAGATATTGGTCCTATTTGGGGGAAATTACTTTTTCTGGATATCACTGATTCTAGTCTTCTAAAGTTTATTGTGAGGTTTTCTACTTCCTCTGTCTCTTTTGAATGAGTGTGTGTCAGATCTGTGTTCTTTCTCTCTTTAAACCACAAAGTCATCCAGGGTGGAGGACTCTTTGTAAACAGACGCGCTATGTTTTGGCTGTGGTCTGTGCCTTCGGAAGCCCATGCGAGCTGCAACTGTGGCGATGTTGTGATGTGGGGAGCGGACGCAGGGAGTGGGTTGATAGGAGAAATTAATGCCGCTCCCCTGAGACTGGGTTAGTTACCACAAGAACGAGTCTGTCTTTCACGTTCTATCTCTGTTGCACGCCTCCACTTTCTCTTCCAACATCCACCATGCGATGAGACAGAAGGAATCCTTCACCCGCTGAAGCTGCCCAAGCTCGGACTTCCCAGTCTCTGTAACTCTGAACAAAATAAACTTCTTTTCTTTATAAATCACCCAGTCTCGGGTATTAGAAAAAAACTAATACTGTTTGTAACTATAAATTCAGTTCCCTTAATTTTAAAAGTATTCATTTTGGAAATTTATCTCTCCAAGAAATTTCCATGTCAGCTACATTTCAGATTTTTTGGTATGAAGTGATCCATAATATTTCTTCGCTTTAATGTCCATCTCATAGTAATATATCTAGTGATATTCTTTCAATCATTTGGGATCATTATTGTTTCCTTATCTTTGCTAGATAAGTCTGTCTAGCTTAAGACTTTAAAATATTATATTTTCAAACAAAGTTTTGTTTCACTTGTATTTTGTATTTATTCATCATCTCTTATCTTATTATTCTCTTTCATCTACTTATTTGAGCTTTGAGCAGGTACCAGGTAGATTGAGTGTCCTGGGTTCCTGCCACCAAAGTGGGGACCACAGGGCAGCTGGAGGAAGCCAAGTGCAGAAGTTGCTTGGCCTTCCACTGGCTCCACGCTCCCACTTGAGAATGTTCTTGTCCTTGTGCTAGTTTTGCTAACATAAATGCACAGCAACATCTAAAAGGCCAAGCTCTCTGAAATTTACTCTTCTAAAAATAGTCTTGTATAACAACAGGATCTTTATAAAATTACACCTTGGAAACACACCCTCAAATTTAGGACCTGATGTGACATTCAATATTAAATAATATGCAATGTCACTAATAAAACATGACAGGCAATGCTTTTTTAGCACATTTAGGGGATCTTGCTGTGACTATGAAAACAGGATAGATACAAGATGCAAGAGTGGCAGAGAGACAAACATCAGAGGAAGATTAATGCCCATGTACAAGAAAGGCTGACAATGAAGAAATTTCCAATCTGTGATGATTCTTTTTTCATTAAGCATATTAATCCATTGTCACCAATATATTTGTAAATGTTTACACAACTGAATTGGTATAAATAATTCAAAGCATATTATCTTTGATGTACAGATGGATTTTCCTCTGAAGGCACCTTGGATGGTATTTGAGGCATTGCTGTGTTAACTGGCAAATGTTGTGATGTAGTATCCCTGAGGTTTTTTTCTTAAATAGAACTCTTTGAGGTTTAGTTTAAAGAAAAGAATTTTCTTGAGAGCTGAAAAAGGCTCTCTGTGAATCAGAATCATTTAGAAGGAATATTATACTTCCATTGAAAAATCAGAGGCTTTGCCCAGAAAGGGGAGTAACCTTGGCTCACACAGGGTTTGACAGGAATCTCTGGCTACCAGGAAGAAGGGAAGAGGGAGAGATGGCTAAGAGGAGAAGATAACAATGAAGAAGGGAGAGAGAGAGGGAGAGAGAGAGAGAGAGAGAGAGAGGGAGAGAGAGTTCCTTCTTTTTTCCCACATAATCAGGAGGAGTCTTAGCTCTTATCTAAGCTTTCTGTTTAAAGATTGTCTCCCATTACTTCTGTAATGACCTTGCAACTCCTGGAGAAGGGAAGGCCAGTCCGGCCGTGCCACAGTCTGTGGACATGGCGGTGAGAATGCAAGTGAACAACCCCATCGTCTGTCACACATCCCCACACAGAAAGTGAAATATTCTCTCTTCAAGCATCACCAAAGAGGCTGTTGATCCGTAGAAAAAAAATTCTCTAAAGGCCCAAGGGAGATCAGCCACCCCCCGGATCACTGGAGAGCTACCCCATAGGTCCCTTCTGTCACCAGGCTTCTAGGACATGGGGTTCTCACTTCCTCCTCTTGAGCAAATAGCTACAGTCTGCTTCCTTTTAAGGAAACCATCTGCAACTGCAAACTTCCCGTGGGAGGGAGCAGAGAAGCAGGAAGCTGGGAAACAAAGGATGCTGAGGACAGATGGCAGCCAGAGACCTGCAGGGGAGGGCCCCAGTCCAGCGTTGCAGCTCCGGAATGGCTTCTCTGTGGATCTCTGCCTCCTCTGTCCTCTGCTGTTCCTTAACCTTGTTCCTTTTATGCAGGAGTGTACCTTGTGCATAGTGTGGGCTAAACCGTCGATAACAGATCCATTATGTACCCCCAGACCCATTGGAATTCTTTAAATGAAGAAGAGGCAGGAGCAAGCTGGTCTTCATTCACCTTCCTTTTTCCTTTATGAAAAAAAAAAATCAAGTTGCTAACAGCTGCAGAGAGTTCCCTCCGTGAATTGCAAATGAGCTCAGAGCCCACCTGACTGCACCCTTTCCATGGGCGTCTGTCCACCTGTGTCTATGCAGGACAGTTTGCTTGAACCACCTTTGTAGGGGCAGCAGGTGCTCTCAGAATAGAGAATCCTTGAGGGGACTGCAAGGTGGTTTTTCAAACCCACTGTCTCTGCCACCAAGCTGTCCAGTTAAAAGCCGCTCTGCTGTTTACAGTGTCTCTGCTTTTGGGAAATAAAGGAAAAGTAGAGGAGATCTTACTCCTATAAATCTAACAGTTTTTAAAAACTCATTTTAGGATTTTTGTCCAACAGACCCTTCAGAAGTTTCTCCTAGGTTAGCTGGGGACAGAGGCCTGGATATTTAGGAAAACATGCAACTTAGCCCCTGGTTTCCCAACAGCACCACCCTTTGAAATTTTAGATGTAAAATTTCTTGAGGAGCACATGATTCCTTTCATGAAAACAAATACTGCTGAACACCTCACCTTGCCTCTACACATGAAATGGGGAGCAAAGACCCCCATTAGTCAGTTGGGAGACTTGGACAGTGCTTCTGTTTTAATGCACCAAAGATGGACTTTCTATATATTTCTAAAAATTAAATTAGCTGCATGAATTATTCATTTTTCCTTCCCTCCAAAGTGTATGGATGTGACTATATTTTAAACAGTATTACTTCCTCCATCGAATAATCAATTTCCTCCACAAAACTCTTCATGACAAGCTCAGCAGAACAAATCCCCTGTCTGAACTCCTACAGCATTAAGGAGGAGTCCACTTCGTGATGTGCTGTGTTGCAGCCCTTACAGCTGCTTAGGAGCACAAAGACCTCTCTAGTGAGCCTGAGTAGCTGCCCAGGAATCAGGTATAAGAACCAGAGCTCAGAGTCCCCCTCTGTCTTGGTCAGAGCTGTGATGGAAGCCTAGATCTGCACCTCCCTCTCCCTGTCTGAGGGGACTGCGTGTAACTCAGAGAAACTGAATGCATGTTAGGAGAAGGGCTGCTGAATTCAAATCCCATCTAAAAGCTTCAGGGCTAGAGAAGCCATTTGTCTTAATCAGTGCTAAAGGTTAATGGACAGACATAGTTAGCTCTGCAGACATTGTCTTTTTTTCCTGACTCCTGGCTATAAAAAAAAATTTTTCGCCTTCAGAAGCCAAGAGGAGATAATTAAAATGCAAGCAAATGTCAGTTCCTTTCCAAAGCATCCACTCTCTGTTCCCAACCACATGCCGCTGCCCTTCCTGCAGTGTCCTTGGCCAGAAGATCACCTGAGAAGTGACAGGAAGAGGCGGTGCTGACTCAGAACCCTGCAGTGGGGGCCCGACCTGCAGGCTCGCTTCCTGCGAATCCCTCACAGCCCGTCTGCTGAGTCAGACAGTGACAGTTTGCCCAGTGCCCACCCAACGGTAGGTTCCTCACCACCTTCCTACTTCAGCGATTGCAAAGCAGCTCAACTCTGCACACAAGCTCCTAGAAGGCAAATGACAGAAGGAAGCTATCAGGCTGCTCCAATGGGTGATGCTTGAGCCCAGAGCAGGCCCCGTGTTTTGCGTGAGTCAAGTGCATGAGCAGGAGCACAGTTTCAGAGCTCCAGGAAAGGAAAGAACGGCAGTGGTCTGCTCTGTAGAAATGCTGGGACCAAAGGCTGCAGGCTGCCTGCTGTACAGACCAGCAGGAGGGAGGGCTTTTTCCACCTTCCACCTTCCTGCAGGGGACAAGCATCAGACGCAGCAAACACAGACAAAGGAATGAGCCATGGCGTTCCAGCTGGTCAGAGTGGGGGCGAGGAGCCAGCCCAGCAGAGCGGGTCATGAGCCAGCAGCCTCCTGCGTCCAGGAAGCAGCATCTGTGGAGCTGAGCTGGGGCTATTTAGGTGACTGCTTCATTTTCCCACGTGGAAGTAATCCCATTGCAGGCTTTTCCTTTCATTTATCAGTGTAATGCTTACTGCCACAGAACCCACGCCAGCACTAGCTTCATCCATTTATAGAAACGACAAAGACGCAGGAGACCATCACAGTGCCAAGGGAGCAGGAGACCGGCCTTCTAGACCCAGGCTGCCACGATCTTCCCACATAATCTGAAAGACCAGAGCACCTCTCTACACTTCAGACGGAGGCCTGCATGACTGGGTGCTGAG